GATCCCTTCATTTTGTTTTATATTCTGTACATATAACATTATTTATTACACAAACAATAAAAAACTAATTAAAGATGACCCAATCAAGTGTTGAGTTCCAGAAACTTGCACTGATTGCAGTGTCTGAAATTCAGTGCGTCTGAAATTGTGGGTACTCAGTACCTTCTATAGACAGGTATATTAAAGGAAAGCACAGCATTAGTTTTGAAAGAGAAGATAATGACTTCTCCTCCCACACTTTGGTATATATTTTTCTATCCCTTTCCTGCTTTAGTACTTGCTTTCAGTAAGTTTTGTACAGTATTCAACTGGCATTGCTCAGCTGAAGATGTTTTCTTTGCATAGCCCTTATGTTTTCATATAAAGTCAGCACATAAAGATAATTTTACACCCAAAACATTTAAAGGAGGTTTCTTTTAAAAGAAGTGAGTGCAGCTATTTTCTTCCATAGTCTAAGTCTTGCCTGGCAACAGCAGGTACATTTTTAGGAAAACAGCTGAAAACTAAGTGCATTCCTTCCAAAATATTTTCGCCACCTCTTGGAAATGTGGCTATACTTATCAAAATGCTCCTACAGACAATTCTGATGTATATATAAACACACACACACGTGCGTGTGTAGATACATACATGTGCGTTCACAAACACAAATCCTCTCATTTTACTACTTACATATGCTTTTAAATATTATTAAAGCATAAGTTAAAGTTATTGTGCAATATGAATCCCTGAAGGAGGAATCAAGGAGCTAGAGTGCACTCAAATTCTCAGCCCTGTGAACCACTTGCATTTCGACACCCACGAAGGGAGCAAGAAAGCATTGCAGAGACCTGGCAGGACAGAAAGGGATCCTCCAGCTCACCATCCTGGATCCACTAGGAGCTGAGGACCATGGCTGGAGAAGCAACCAAGAGAAGTCCCCAACGTGTGCGTGTCTGGGGTGGAATAGGGGAAGCAGGGAGCTGTTTCTCTGGCAGAGAGGCAGGATGGGGGCTGCTGGCCCTGCTCCCCAGCCCTAGGCAGGCAGGGTGGTACCTCCAGCATCCTGCTGCTCTCCGCAGCTGCTACCCTCATCCTCATCAAACCGAGTGTGCTCCAAGAGGGACCAACAGCAGGCCAATCTAGCACTTTTTGTCTGAGAAATTGTGTAGGGAGTCATTAAAGAAACATTATTATGTGAAAGATATAATAACAGGGGAAAACGTCAGCTGTAAAATGTACACACTCACTTAGACTACTCTAAAGTGATAACAGTTCTTTAAATGAAAAGTGAAGAACTATCAAATAATTTTAATTATCCAATCAGGATTCTAATTTAGCATAATTCTACATATATTATGCTCTCATTTTCAACTAAAGAATAAAAATACCAGAGTACTTGTCAGGTCCTAAGCTTCTTGTGCTGTGTTTGAAAAAACTACTTACTATCCAGTTTCTTTTGATCATTATTCTGTCTCAAACTCAATAGATACAAAAATGAGAAGTTTCAATATTGCTTTAATGCTTTTAATAATCTATATGCAATGACACATCTAAATCAGTTTTACTGTTAAATGCCTTAGATTATTTCATTACATTATTAATAGTTTTATGTTGTTATTTCACTACTATTTGGGAGGAAACCTCCTCAGCTACCTATATAAAATAAAATGGGAACCCTAAATAATTTAGTAACAGTTGTAAAGCCAAGATACAAACCTTTAGAAGTTTATAGGCTTCAAAATATTTCATTCTTTTTCTCTGATAATTTTGCATACTTTCAAACTAGCTGTATAGCTACTTAAGTTATATGCTTTAAAATAAAAAAGTTTAAAACCACATCTTTGATGATGGTAATATTTAATACTTAAAAGCCATATTTTCAGCAGACACCTATTAAATCAAAATTTGAGGCAGTATTTGTCCATATGAGCAGGCTTTTGTTTGGAAGTCAACAAATCACATTTAAAACTGGAGGACGAAAGCAACATGAGGGAGGTCTGAACAGAAAAACTCAGCCAAAGCAGTCATGGTTTCAATCATATGAATCTAAAATTATGATCTGAAATAAAATTGACCTTACTAATCATTTCTGATTATCATCTAAAACCTGACACACTAATTCTATGTTCTTCCTTTTTTATGCAAATCAACATGAAAGACCAGATTGACTACTTCAGATCAGTACCACTTGACAATTGATCATTAATACATCCATTTATTTTTTTCCCCCTGTACAAACACAAGACATCTTTGAATTTTTCTATCCAGTATTCATTAAATCAGAGAGACCTAATTGGTCCTAAGATGAAAGACTACATACCTTTCTCATTCACATTGGGCAATTTCCATTTTTGAAATGCATAACCTGAATTACACAGACTTTAGATCTGTGTTTTAGTGCTCCCTTTTCCTAAACTTTATTTGAGCTTATTGGGATCTTTAAATTGCATATTTCCGTAGGATTCTTAAAACAAAAAGTTACCACCATCACATTTATGGCTATTATGTTATTATGGTTGTTTCTCAACAGGAATGAGTCTTTGAACATCTATTTCACTATTATGACAGCAAGAAAATCGTACACCCTGTATATATTGTCACATTAATTTTAAGGTTATATATTACAGGATAAAATTAAAGGCTACTTCTTTAACAGCTATAATGATTTGTAAAAAATAAAAAGATACTGGGTTTGATGAAAGCAAAATTCTTTTGACTTGGTTAAACTATAGAGTTTAAAATTGACGCATTGTAACATAATTTCATCTGATTTAAACAAAATGCCAAAGAGTGACTAGGAAAAGGATAAATATTTTCCTAATGAGATATGATTGTACATAGCCATAAATATAGGCAACCTATAAGCCTATACAACTAATCTCCTTGGAACTAACTTCAATGGATGCTGGCTTAACTGAAGCAAGGTCGATCTTAGCCACAGCCAAGCATGAATAAATTGCCCAGTAGTGCTAATAATTTAAAAATAAACAAACAATGCTCCTGAGCTATACATTTGGGCCAAAACTTTCCATGCTCTTTTTTGAAATTTTTTAATGTAATTAGTTTATCTATTTCTGAAAGACTAAGAAAAATATTCTTTACTCATGTTAAATAGATTATAGTGACCTTATCTTATACCATCTGTGTCATTTGTTGTTTTGAATGCTGGCAGAAGTTGCTGTGTAGGTTGAGGCTGGACATCTTGCCATCCATTTGGAAGTCACCAGAACTTGACAAAGTTGTAGCACTTGCAAACTACAATATACATATGCTCAGCAGTTAATTACTAGTTTCCCAGATAATTTTTTTTTTTTTTTTTTTTTTTTTAGAAATCAAATATTTCAAAACTTTGGATTTATGTGGGCCAGGCTGGATATCTTGACAGTATATCAGTAAAAATAGTAGTAGCAAGAACAAGTAAATTGTTTTTTGTCTGTTTGTTTTGGGAGGGGCAAATAAATAGTGAATAAATAGCAAAGTGACAGATTTGTGTTCAGACTCAGATGACACAGAGTTCTTTTAGGGAAAAAGACAAGTTGAATGGGTTCTCAGGAGTTCCTCTAAGCAAAAAACATAACAGAAATTAAACAATAAACACAAATACTTTAGAAAACAGGCTGTTTGGGAAACCACAGGTAACAAGACAGGTTTTTTGGTTGGAACTATAGTTTATAAAAAAATCAATATCTAGGTAAAAGGAAAACATGTACATTGCCTTTAATTGCTATATTAGGAAATATACATATTAACATTTTCACTATATCCCTTTATCACACGCTTTGTTCTTCTAGGTCAACAAGTGAATAATTTTTTCTCTCAAGAAGAAACTATTCGCACATCAATCTTTAAGCCATTGCCACAGCCTCCATGAAGAAAAGCCAAGCTCACCAAGGCATGTCTGATTAACATCACTTGTACAGTCTGAGGAAATAACCTAAATGAGAAGGACAGCAGCAAAATCAATCCTCTAAGGCCTGCAGTAGAGAGAAATGGAAGCATGGCTTGCCATTTAAATGTGATGCAACATGAGATTATACAGGTATGATTCAGCAATACCTGGGTACAAAAATGTATCTGTCTTAAAACTTAAAATGCAGCACTAGCGCTAAGAATTTGTTCTGCACCTATATTGCCCAGAGTGCTTTAAAAATGAAATATCTTTTTCTGTTTCTCCATCCAGCCCCTCTCTCATACCTCATCCTCATATTAATAAAACCCAGTCTCCTATTTTAAGGAGCATATCAAATGCTTTCCTTCTTACAGATGAAAGAAAGGACTGCACTCAGCCATGTTTGTACTGGCTGCAGTAGGTCGAGTTCAGATTTCATATTTGTGATACATTAGTCTACAGCATTCCTGATGTTCACAAAAATCAAACAAAAACTACTTTTTTTTTTTTTTCTTTTTTTAAGATTATTTAACCTGGCCATAACCTAGAAATCTGTCTTGTGCATTTTTTTCTTTCACTTTCATAAAGGTGGTCAGATCTTCAAATTGCTATTTCGGTCTTTGTTGATGTCAGTAGGCTCATACATTTCTCTAGCTTGTCTTACTGAACATCCAACATATGTTTTACCTCAAACTACGGCTCCCATTGGTGCGGTATGAGCACTAATTTTCATTTGTTTGCTATTTTTGCACTGTTGTTTCTGTGGCATGTGGACTCACTACGTAAATTGCACATAACAATCTATTAGTTTATGATGCTTATAGGCATAAGCACCAGGCATGATCACCTGCTACTTCTCTGACACTCTCACTGCAGCTACCCAGAAATAGTCCACACTTATGCAAATACCCTGAAGGTAAAAAGCAAGCAAAACAAAACAAAACCTTAGGCTGTGGCAAACTCCCAAAAAGAGGCATTGAAATGCAGCAATTTGCACAGTCACATAGAAAACTTATCAGTTATTTGCATTAAATGGACAGTCTTCCCTTTTCCCCATCCTCCTCATTTCCCAAGTTCTTCTGCACTTGGGCACTGAGCCACAGAAAAGCCCTCTCAACTCATAATGTACCTGCAGTCCCTGAAATATCTGATGCACATGATCTTATTCCAAGCAGGCAGGAGATGATTTCTGTGTCGGCTGAAGCTTCAGAGTAGCTTTGCAAGAGAACAGCACAGAAGAAAAGCTAAGCAGCTCCGGATCAGTCTCTACAAGACAGAACAGGAGATTACTAATAGCTAATCAGAGAAAGTACTCAGATAGTGGAATTATTACTAATCCTCTTGAGAGGCGTTTATTAGATTTTTAGTAGTGAAGAGCACAAGAAAGAAATCTTTCTCTATTTTGAGTAACCAAAATTGCTTTTCTTTTGAGAAGGGTTAGGGCAGGATGTGATGTGACATTCAGTCTAGCCATTTCTGCTTTTGTTGCTTCCAAAATCTCATATCATGATCATTTTTCCATGATGTGTCTTACTTTGTTCTGTGTTTTGCTCAGGCTGCTAGTATTAGCCTTCCAATCTTTATTATTGCTTTATACTGTTAGACAAGCAATTGGAACAGTCAACAGTGCTGAATCATGGAAACATTTTGTGCATTCTGAACCTCCAAAGATACCCTCATAGTCAGCTTCAAATATACCTGTATTCTTTGCCTTCTGCATTACATGCATTTAGCTAATGTTTCCATGGGGATCAATTATAAATAATAACATAAGATGGATCATACATGTCATTGTGGTACTGATGGATTTTGGGATGGTTAGTTGCCATAGCAATGACTCGGCTGCGGCGCGCTGGGAGAGGGTAGTCAAAGAAGAGCCGAGGTTCTGCTCTGCATATGCAGTCAACTTAATTAATCTTGACATAGCGTAGAACAGAGCAAGGGTTCCCTGAAAGAACTTGTTCTGTGAGGCATTTCTTGTGTCCTTGAACATTCCAGTCACAATGTAGCTCTGCTACAATGTTTTCTCTTATACACATCTGGCGTTTCTACTTATTAAGACGTATTTTTTGGCACTGTCCGTCCTACCTTCAAATTGAAAATCATTTAAGCAAATGTTATTGCACTATTCACGCTCTAGTGGATAACACTGGATAAATAAGACCAGCTTACACTTTTCCAGTATGCTTTAGCATGATTTAAGGATTGAAGGAATGATTTAAGGAACACTTTGAAAAGTCAGTAAATAATATTTACATTGTGTGGTTAGGATAACAGAAACAGAGGTAGAACAAGTGATTTGTTTTGTTATCTAAATATATGTAGAACAAAAATTGAAACTCTCGTTAAAGGATCCTTATTTCATGCCTCTGTCATCCATTGGTCTATTTTATCTTTTTAGTTTCACACATGAAATTTTATGCTGTTTCTTTTCTGTGCATGCAGTCTTAGGCAGAACATTTCTCCTAACAGTTCAAATCTCTGCTTGGTATTAATTGTCATAATAGCCATTTTCTCCTTTTGTAAAACAAATTTTTAAACCATGTATTTTATCTAAATTCATCTGTTTTTTCCCCACCGCTACTTACTTTCCCAAGAAATTACTAGAAAATATTTAAAGAGTCATTTATAAACTTCTTTTTTCTAGCTAGCACTTTATCAGCAACTGTTACAAGTGTTGTAAACTCCAAATGAAAGAGTTTATTTCATTTAGCTAAGACTTTTCTTCCTTTTCACTGCAATTCCTCAGAAATGTCACCATATTATCCTAATTTTCCTTAAAGTTTTACAATTACAACAAAATTGAGTGTACACATTACACTCTCTACCTTAATTTAATGCAATTAACAGTGCAATCTCTAGAAAAAGATCTATTTTACCAATACTGTAATACTTTTTATTGTCATACCTGAAATTATCCAGATCCTGAATCTCAGAAATACAATACATGAATCATGAAGTTTTCAAGGCAACTCTGCTTTCATATAAATATGGTTTTCATATAAGGGGCACTTATTTTATTATCCCTGCATCTTCAAAAGAGTAATTTGGCAGGCCTAGAGACAGGCAATACAGGTCCAGTAATGAAATGAGATATAAAGACAGAACACTAGATTTGGAAAGCTTGTAACTCTACTGCATAGCCATTTTTAACAGAGGGGCTGAGAGATGTTCTGTAACATCTGCTCTAATACACGGATAAACCTACGTTCTTCTCAGCACTGCACTTTTTGCAAGGATAATGTGTAATAAGCAGCCCAAAGCACCTAGAACACTCTGAGACTGTCCTTCTGTCACACTAAAAGCCAAATGGGACCTACTTCTCACTTCCTCAGAAGCTTTTTCCTCTAATGCTTATTAAATTACCAGTTTAAAAGATTCATAAGCTTTAAGTCAGAGTTTTCATTACAAACCACTCACAAGCTGTTTTCCTCTAATTGCTCTAATTACCTCCTTTCAAAAAACAAACAAACCCCAAACTTTGGATCTGAAATTTCTTAATAAACATGACGTCTCAAATTGGAAGTCAATGATTGTAAGCACTCAAGTAATATTAGGACTGAGTTTAGAGCCTCCAACTGATTTTTACTATAACTTTTTAAAAGAGAAGATAATCCCCCATCCCCTCCTCTTCCCCCTCCCCCCAAAAAAGGCTTTATATAAATAAATTCGGTCAGACTGGAGCAGGACTGCAGATCTGAGACTGACTTATGCTTCAAGCAGCTTCTATTTAGGAATAGCTCCAGGTCACATCCTGCATCTCTGCACTGGGTAACTCAGGAGCAACCAATCCCCCTTGCTTACTTCTGCTGCTGCCTAGGTGCTTTTCTGGATTTCAAGTTTCTTACAGTTTCCAGGTGTTAAACACTTCAAGTGTCGCTAAAATTAGGAAATAGCAAGTATGTGAAGTTGGAAAGAAATACAGATTTTTGGACACACAAATACAAATCTAGTCCCACGTCATTTTGGAGCGCTTTTCGTAGTTCTTTTTGTTTCATGTGTCACTTAAGAATGTTCAAAAACTATTTCATTTAAAGAAATAGACAAGGAAAATAAGTGCTCGGCAAAATATCCTATATTAATACCTAGAGAAATATATTTTCTCTCTGTCGTTATAGAATGTAAACTGTTATTGCATTGATTCCTCTTATATGGCCACAATAATATACCAACACCCAAAGTTACATTTTACAGGCTTGGTTTCATTTAAACCTACAGTTATATATGTGTAGTAATTCTGAACAGAAGATATTCTTGTCTTTTTATGAAGCTGTGGATATTCACCTAACTTTCTTCCTCTTGTATTTTTCCCAGTTAATTCACATGTTCCACTTTCAGTCTTGAAAAATACTCCAGCTCCCATTAGAGTGAATGGAGGGTGGGAATGAAGCTATCTTAAAACTCACAAAACACCAGTACCTTCTTGAGGATTAGACACATTTTATGAGGGGAAAAGAAGTGACATTAAACGTATATTTTGCTTGGACAAGAATTAGTTTAAGTAACTTCTTTTATTTTGACTACATTTCGCTTATTAGCTTACATCTCCATTCAAAACAAATATCCAAGAAAAAAATATTTGGAGATTTAAAATAACTTTGGCTGGCAGAGTACACTAATGAAACAGGCTAAAGAAGACTGACGTTAGCTCTAATTGGACTCAGAACAAAGCTTTTTACATATTTTCTTTGAAAGGTCCCTACGACTAATTCTAATTCAAAGCTGTCTAAGCAATACATACTCTCAATTACCAGCAGCAAAGGTTACGCTAAATGGGCAACTGCTGGTTTAACCATGCATTATTAGAGTCTGCTAACATTACATTTTGGGAAGTGTCAGTTACTGATACAGCTTAAGTCAGAAAATAAAGCCCACAGGATAGTAAACTTTGTTCTGCTTCATTCTTCTTTCCTAATGATACAAACTAGCTTAGATGCTATACTTGGGAATCACCAAGTGCTTATATTTAATTAAAACTATATTTATCAAGTATTTAACATGTGAACAATATGCCAATGAAAAGGTAGATGCACCTATCAAATAAGACTTTTTTGATCTCAAATTTGTCACATGAGTGATTTAGAATCTGCGAAGCCAACTCATAAAAGACCCTATCCAAACACTCACTTTTACATCAAATTAAACTATCATAATATGCAATAAAGGGTCTCAAAACACTTTCTTCCTTTGTGCATATTATATGTGCAGTTCCTGGACAAAACAAGATTCATAAACTCTTTCAAAATAAGCAACAAGTTCTCATTGAGAACAATTAACCTAATACAAGCAGAGTTAAGCTCATCCTTGCTCAGCTAACCATTAAATTCAATCTCCCAGTCCCCTGAGGGATGGAGCACAGACTGAGAGAATGCTAGCCTGGAAGGCAGAATACTTCAAAAAAGGAAGGATATTTATTGAAATGCCAGGTCATCTGTTGTGATTTCATGTAATAAGTTCACTAGAGCATCCATTGATTACCAATCAGAATGCATCACATTATAGCTTTTGCGCTGCTCAGTGTACAAAGTTCCATTAAAATAATAATAAAAAATGAATTAACTTCATGCTTCTTGTGCAAGAATACATTAACGCAATCTCAGAAACCCAGTTCTAGCCATATTTTCATAATGCAATTGACTTCTTTACACTAGCAAAACTTGTAGGAGACCACACACAATTGATAACTAAACCCAAACTATCATGTGCAACTTGTCCACCAGGAGCCCTTGGGCCTTTTCTGCAAAGCTGATTTCCAGGTTTCCACTCCTCCTTGCCCCTCTCCCCGTCCCCAGCTTATACTGGTGCATCATATTATTCCTCCTTGGCACAGGACTTAGCACTTCCCTTTGCTGAACTTCAGAAGATTCCTGATGGACCATTTCTCCACCCTATCTAGGTCCCTTTGAATGGCAGCACAGCTGTCTGCTGTATCAGCCCCTCTTCCTTGTTTCGTATCATCTGCAGACTTGCTGAGGGCACTTGCTTTGCAAGCGAATTCTATTGCACTGCTAATGAAGATACTAAACCCTCGCAGCCCCAGTATTAAGCCTTTGGCTATCCCACTGGCTGTCATACTGCTGATCATACCTACCTGAGCCCTGCAGTTCAGGCAGTTTTAAACTCACCTCATCATTCCTGTAACCGGTACATACTTTACCGGCTGTCATGGGAGATGGTGACAAAAGTCAAGACAAACAACATCCTCTGCTCTCCCCTTACCCACTACACTAGTCATTTCTTTAGACAAGTTTATCAGGTAGACTACC